CTCTGGAGATAAAGACAGAAGGAGTTATGAAAATAGCAAGTGGACAACAAAAATAAAGTTAGAAATTACTTTTACTGTAGGAAACTTCTCTACACCTTATGATATGTGGGTGATTGACATTAAGGAAGAGTGCTTATTGGGAACTATCTACATGCTGAGACATAAATGCGAGATTAGACTAGCTTCAAATAGCTTTACAGTCTGTTACAAGAAGACCCCTGTGCACTAAATGGCAATTACTACATCAGAGTTTGAACATCCTCTATCAACTAGGAGTGAAATATTTATAGGAGGACTTGTTAAAAATAAATGTACATCTAGTAACTGGACCATAACAGAACCAAACACGCCAACATGTTCTGATAGATTAATGGTTGGTAGAACTCTTGTGGACTTAAAGAATAAAAATATCATTAGGGCAATGAACACAACAAATATTAAGATCTGTGTAAAATCTGGATGGAACATTACAAGATTTGAGCTACACAGGTAGTACTTCCACATCAAAAGAAGTCACCCTTTGAAGAAAAATATAAGAAACCTGATGTTAGACACTCACATAAGAATAACTTACAAAAGATGTACGGCCACAGTTGTGGAGGTTTTATGAATGATAAGTGTCAACGGTTATATAACCAATGGACCTCATGATTTATGCTGAACAAATAAAATATCTCACAAGACTGATATTGGATATACAGCCTAAATATATCAGTTAGCCATATGAATTCCTCTTGTAAAACAGGCTGAAGCTTTCAAATATATAGAATTCATGAAAGAACAAGAAGTGACAGAACAAAATGCTAGTCCTTGGGCATCACCTATTGTTCTTTTGAAAAAGGATAGATTCACAAGGTTCTGTATAAACTATCGGAAGATGAATGAAGTGACAAAGAGGATTGACTCTACCATGCTCTATTGGGATCAAAATGGTTTTCAACATTGGGTCTTAAGAGTGAATAATGACAAATGGAAAGTGACAAAGCAAGCAGAGAGAGAAAACACCCTTTACTGCTGAAAATGTATTGTGGCAATTTGTTATGTTACCATTTGGATAATATAATATTCTGCTCTATTTTAGTGATTAATAGAGTATGCTTTGTCTGAACTATCCTATAATGTTATATTCATGTAATTGGCTGACATAATCAATATGGGAAGATCCATGATAATGCTTTAGAATGACTAAGAAAGGTTTTAGAACAGTTGAGGAAAGAGAACCTTAAGCTGAATTCTAAGAAGTGTAATAATGCTTGGAGATGGCTTGAATGGGTAATGAAGAAAAGCTTTAATATAAGTTTAACATAACAGCAAATGTACAACGTTTCGACAGGGTTTTGTCATCATCAGGTACTCTAAGAAGTGTGAATTATTCCACCAACAGGCAAGTTTTATGAGAGACAGTGAGCAGAGAGGAAGTGTATACAGATTCATCAAAGGTTGACTCTGTTCAGAACTGGCCAACACCAAAGAACCTGAGTGAGGTAAGAGAATTTCTTAGAGTGTATTCTTAGTATCAGCATTTTGTAAGTCTTTCTCTTACATAGCTTGTTCTCTACACAACCTACTTAAGAAATCAAATAAGATTTGTTAGACTGCTAACTGTGAACAAGCATTCAAAAAATTAAAGAAGGAATTGACCACTACTCTGGTATTAGCATACCCAACTTTGGAAGATCCTCTCATTTTAGATACACATGCCAGTGATTTTTGCAGTGAGAGTAGTTTTGTCATAAGTAAAACATGGGAATACAACTGCCTATTATAGCAAAGCAACAAATGCTGCAGAAAAGAAGTATTGTACAATGCACAAGAAACTACTAAGTGTTTTTCAAGCCTTAAGTCACTTTGAGCATTATCTATATCGACAAAAGTTTACACTCCAGACAGATCATGCAGCTTAGAAGTGGTTGGTAAAATTTTGCAATCCAGAAAGCCAAATAACAAGATGGCTCCAAGAACTACAGGAGTACAATTTTAACCCTTTTCAGACCACTGTATGGTAATTTACCACCTTTAACCTTTCATTAGTAAAAATTAATAACTCACAATATGTCTTCAAGTCTGAAGAAAAAGACATTTCCATAATACATCACAATAACTATGGGACATTTTGAGATATATATTTGATTGCTTTAGCAAATTTATGAATTATAATTAACTAAAAACCACTATGTAACAAATATGTCATTATGCAGTACACCATAACCACTAACCTACAAGCTATATTCTTTCCATGATCATAGGTTCTGTTACTCAAGATTCATCAGTATCTTTTTAATTTTTTTACTCTGCCTAAAATATTGTTTATTACATAAAATGATTAATTTTCATGTAAGGAGACACACACATTCAACATTTTAGTAAGTTTTTATTTTTGCACACAAATGTTATTTGATTTTTTATCTATTTCATTCTAACAAACATATGCAAAAATTAAGGTAGGCCTCATTGTGTAAGGAGAAAGTTGCAAGCAATTGAATAAGATATTATGCATTAACTCATTTTGTTAAAAGAAATGGTGCAATATCTTCTAAAGCATTAGATCTGATATAAATATATAGTTTATATTATTCTATCTTATACCCAATGCTTATCTTTGTCCTATATAATTGTTTCAAATACTAAAGACTAGAGCACACAATAAGGTGTCTGATCTGTGCTATTTTCCCTTTCATGGACTTTGTAACAATGAACGATTACCCTCTCCAAAGCATCTTACCCAGGATAAGTAGAGATTATGGCCCTTCCCAGACCCTGTTTAATTTTTGCGTTTCTATTTTTTTGTAACAGGTATTGTACAACTATAACATGCCACTCCAATGGAATCTAATCTTACCAGCATTTATATTGTAGTGAAATTTTATCACTTGCTGATTTAAGTTTTTCCCAGGTAAAGTCATGTATTCCAGTGGTGGTGTTCCTTAATCTCTATACACTTAAATAAAATTAATGACGTGGTTTACAGAATCCAAAAGGAGAGGTGATCCAAGTCAAAGGTCATTTTTCATAATTGTCTTTAGAAATTTGTTAGTGAGAGAATGGCCAACTGAGTAACTCCAGATAAGAACTTCTCAACAAAATTCAACCTGCTGAGCAGTCCAGAGTTCCTATGAAGACTACTTCCAGAGGATCATCAAAGTTGGAGCTACCAGCAGATTCATCAGACTGCCTCAGTAAGAGAATGGCAAGTGACAACAAGAGACAAGATGCCATCCTATCTATATACCATGGGCCTGAGGAGAGAAAACCACCATAAAGACTTGTTGAATGAACAATTTAATGTAGCATTTTATTTTTCTATTAGGATTGTTCCAGAAAGGCAGCAGTGTTGTATGATGCATTTTTAATCATGTAATCTGTTTGATAGCTAGAAGGAGCTGCAGATCATAAATGATGTTAAGTAGGCCACCTAGAAAGTTCTACAAATTAACACCAAGTTCCCTCTCGCACATTTGAATGTAAATTATAAATACAAAACAGTTTGAAGTGTGTAAGACTTTTTCAAGATAGGGAATGAAACAGTCAGTGTGTTAGCTATCATGGTTACTTTGTACAATTAAGTTGATTTGTATTACATTAGTTAATGTCATATAAAACATACCCCTATAGCAATTTACAGCAGTGTAACAGTGTTCAAGTTTGTTGAAACATTAAGTAGAAAATAAAACAATTTATTATTATTACATGGACTTGACATTGATTTAGTTTCACCAGATAATTTAAATGAAATTGCTAACAAAAGCACATTTCAACATTATTTTCTTATACCTTCTTTTGTTTTTTTATGTAATTTTTAAATTACCCTTCATTTCACCCATAACAACAATCTGAACATTTGCTACTTGGCAAATGAAGAACTAATTTCTTAATTGCTAAAGTCATCTATATACCATCATCACTACCACACATCTGCCATTATGTTTGTTTTCAAAATATGCCATAATCCCTCACTGATCTTCTGTAAATCAAATGAACTGATAAGTATAATAATGCTTTTATTTAAACATTTTGTGATTGTGATTAGAAATATTTAAGTAACCAGTTGCTAATTCATTTATGCACTTTATATAAATAGGATAAACAAAAATAATATTCAATAAAGATTTGAATCATTGATTATTTTGCAGCCACCTACAAGGCTACCACACTTACCAAACAGTAAACTTAACTAATCTTATTTGAGGATGTTATTATTTTATTTAGTGAACATAATAAAAGTCCTCATATTTACAAGCATTGCAAATCAATAAAACCATAGTAGAGCTATTAAAAAGAAAAATACTGAAAACAAAAAATCAACCATCAACAAGATACCTTTATTAATACTTAAGCAATCTCCAGTCATTTGACATCTTTGATATTTTATATACATATATATATATATATATCCCTGTGTCTAGGTAAATTACTTGTATTTGATGATGACAAAACCTTCTCCAAATGTTGTATATTTGTTACTCTGTTAAACGTGCAATAAAGTATTCTTTGTTCCAAATTCAATCCATCTCCAAGCTGTATAAGCTCATCTATCTCAAATCATTTGATGCCTTATTGTCAAAGAAAAATTCTTCAGCTTTCAAACATATACTTTAACACGTTAATATTTTCACAATTCACAAATGACAGGAGCATTTACTGAAACTAAAAAAACATTAAACCTAATATTTACCCTGCTATGAAATAATAGTTAATTCTTTCTTTATTCAATCATATTTAAACTTTCTGAATAGCTGTTTTCAAAGCTGTGTTTCATTACTAAATGGTTAAAGCACTTGATGTGATACAATAACAAGTGTGGTATTTTCACATAAAACCAATTTCCTGACAAGTAAACCCACAATAACAGCAGATTCTATTAGGAAATAACGGAGTGTTCTGTAGTTGATAATTTGACAGAATTTTAAGTTGCATGCATAGAAACAAATTGGATGTATTTAAAGGACAATAATCACAATCTTTATTTAGACACAACAACACCAACAACAAAAGATGCATACCTGTATAGACAAGTGGACGATCACCTCTACTGGATTAGTGAGTAGCTCATTAACTTTCCATTCTTAAAGTTGAATCTCTGCCAAACTAGTCACAAAGAAAACTGAACAAAGAAAGTGTGCTTGAATTCAACAGGTAAACTCACTTTCTTTCTCCAGTTGGCAGCTTCACCTCATGACTTTTATAACCTCACAGCATTGGTCAGCTGTTATATCAGGTCAATATCATAATCAGCCAGCAAAGGATTTTTCAATGTCAAGTCATTTAATCCAGATATTTCATACAACACTGAAATATCCTTGCGAGCAGAGAAGACATCACCTACAAAAAAGAACAAAGAAACAGACAAATAAAAAAAAGGTAATCTTAATGACTTACTGGACCATGTATTGCCACTATGTAATTAAAGTCTAAGTAATAAAAAACTTTAAAAATTTCTTATTCATTACAGAAGATCTTGGTTTAAGTCTATCAACAGACTTTAATTTTAACTGCTGTGTATCACTACAGAATGTTGAAAACATGACATGTCTGCATGTTACACAAGATGTCAACCAAAGATTGTAGAAAAATTAATGAAGCACTTGATGATTAAAAAATATATAATATTTTCTCAAAAGGTGATACATTCTCAGCAAAAAAAGTTATTTTTTGGTATGGGCAGAAAAATTCTAAATAAAATCAAGAAGTGGGTTGTTTTATTTACAGGCAAAACTCTTAGCAGATGTGCAGAAATGTAAATATGGACTTTTTATTTTTCTTCTTGAATTACATTAAGGGCCAGAAAATGAAAAAATAATGATTCTAAAATATTTTTTAGATAAATTCTTGAAATATAGTTAGCATTAACATATAAAATTGACCTTAAAATGTGTTTCTTGAAAGTTTTAACAAGTGGCACAAAAATATGAAAACAAGCTAATTAATAAGTATAAGAGGTTGATAAAGGCAATTAAAGAAAATGGCCATAACTTAATTTTGTCAGAGATAATGCCCAGAATTAACTGTGGGGATGAAGTTATAAGTAGGTCACTATGGCTAAATGATAGGCTTAGGTTAGTATATAAGGATGAGCAGATTGGCTGGTTGGACTTGTGGAATCAGTTCAGTGGAAGAAGGGAGTTTTTTGCAATGAATGTTTTTTTATATTTAAATAGAGTAGGGTCTGGCTTGTTTGCTAAGGCTATTAACTCAGTTGTAAGGGAAGTTTTAAACTAGGACTAGATAGTGGTAAGGGCCAGGAAAATCTGAATGCAACAAGAATAAGAGGCAGATAAAAGTTTAGCATAGTGAATGAACATAGAAGTAGTTATAAGGATAGGCTTAATTGTTACTATTGTAATGCTAAAAGTATAAGAAATAAAAAAGATGACTTTAGAGAACTGGTAGGAATGGAGGATTAGGATTTTGATATAATGGGAATAACTGAAACATGGTTAAACATAGATGATTATCGTGACAGAAATTTTTTGAAATACAGGGTTACAGGCTATTTAATAGGGATAAAGTATTAAAGAGGGGAAGAGGAGTGGCTTTATATGTAAAATGTGAGTTACATCCCATTGAAATTGAGGATAACAAAGGTATTAGCAAAGAGATTGAATCCATTTGAGTTTCTATTAGTGGATATAAGGAAAAAAAGACTTTTAGTGAGAATTTGTTACAGACCACCAAATGATACTGATGAAATTAGTCAGAAACTTTACAATGAGATTAAGATTTCAACTGTTAATAAAGTCATAATTATGGGTAATTTTAATTTCAGGCATATAGATTGGGAAATTCTAGAATCAAATATGAGGGAGAAAGTTTTTTTGGAAACTGTTCAGGATGGCTTTCTTCACTAGTTAGTCAAGGAACCAACTAGAAACAATGCTATTTTAGAGTTATTGTTGACTTTAAATATAGAAATGATCAAGAGGGTGGAAATTGGGAACATCTTGGTTCAAGTGATCATTGCTCTATTAGGTTCAATGTTTTTCTGAATATGGATATTAAGGAATAATGATATTTTGGTTAAAAATTTCAAAAAGCAAGTTTTCAAGGGATGCAACAAGAGTTATCTGTTGTGAATTGGGCAGCTGAGTTATTTGGAGACACTGATCAGATATGGAAAATTATTAAAGATAATTTTTTGAATATTCAACGTAAACATATTCCTAATAGAATGAAAAGGGTAGCTACAAGTAAAAAACCAGGTTGGCTCACAAAGAGTTTAAGAAATAAAATTAAAGAAAAGCATCATAAATTTAAATTATCCGGCATCAAAAGAGACTTAGACGATTATAGAAGATCAAGAAAGTTGGTGAAACAGGAAAGTAGGACATCAAAAAGGATGTATGAGAAAAAGTTGGCTGAAAATATACAAATTAACAGTAAGGATTTCTTTAAA